TCCATCCTCCAGAGAGAACTCCACTATGGGTCTCTGACGGGAACATCACAGGAAATGACATCATCAAACATTCATACTTCACCACTGGTCTTTCTCAATCTTCAGCTATTGCTCAATGTTAAATCTTTTTCTCATTTATATTAAGTGAATCAGCCATGAGTCTTGGGAATAGAACGATTCATCTTGTTTTTGAGAAGTTACATTCAATACAGACCAAAACACATTCCATTGAGTGTCAAAGGAATGCATGTTTATAGGACGTGTGGAAAGATTGACAGACACACATGTGGTTTGATTTGTTCTTGAGTGCGTTCCTTTATCCTTTTTTTGTAAAACACTGAAGGGCCACTGCTGTGAAGCTGGCACTAAAGCCTTTAATAACAGGCCCTCAAAGTGTGTTTACACACCAGCAAGCTAAAGCTAATATCTTCTAATACCGTTCCCTATTGTATTGACACTGAACATACTTCTAGGAATTAAAACAGTCGCCTCAGTGGTCTAGTTGTCTTTCTAGGAATAATTCAACTTGATAGAACAACAAACAGGTTATCAAATATCCCTTTTTTTACGAATGCTCTCAGCAAACAGAGAATAAGTTCCCAAATAAGGCCTCATTTTTGGGATTTGAACAACAACTAATTTATGGTGGTCTACCTTTTGGGGTCCAAAGATGTCTGGGTTGTTGTTGAGGTGACGTAGGGCTTGTAGAGCATGTTCATGCTCTTTAAACTCCACAAAGCCGTATCCTAGAGACTTGCCAATCACCTGACCCCGAATAGGCTTCTTGTCATACATCACACGACACTGTAGGTACATATATACAGAGAAAGAGACCATCAGGAACAGTAATCCTCGTTATATATGAAAGTTATGCCATAAATAGTTTATGCTAACAAAAGCACTGATGTAAGTTATGCTGTTAAAGGTGATGTAGGCATTTTCAGTCATTTAGGTAACACAGGGCTTCTGCAGGTTTTATGAATGTAAAGACTTTAAGACCTTTTTAAGATTAAGTAAAGAAAGTTTAAGGAATAAATTGAATGGAACACAATGAGTCAGTATGGTCTGTAAATGGTAAATGTTTTGTATTAGCAAAGCTTCAAAGTTTGAAAATACAACTTAGATATAGATCTCAATTATTTAAGAATTTATTTTACCCAAAAAAAAAACATCTGCTCCCACCTGCTAAAATATGAAAATAACTTTTACTGTACCTTCTGTTCATACTGCAAAAAAGTGATGTTCTTCATCAGTATTTGTCTTGTTTTCCAGTGCAATAAATTCTTACATCAAGATGGATATACTTGGAATAAACTAACTCCCTTAATTTTGTTACATTTCTCAGAAAACAATTCTTCATATGCTTAAATCACATCTCAAGTAAATGTATGTTGATTTAAGGATGTTTAGATATTTGTATTTGGAAAAAAACATACTTAGGAAGATTTTTTTTTTTTTTTTGCAGTGCATGAAACATTTAATGCTATGACTTTACAGATGTATTTCATTTATTTACAATTTAGAAGATTTCTTTATAACTTAGAAAAACAGAAAAATTAATAACCTATATTATACATGTTTTAAACATTAACATATCTATATTTTTAACATATCTTTTTCCGCCATGCAAAATGATTGATAGGCAGAGAGAGGGTTTTTGATTGGTTAAGCCTGTCACAGAGACTGGTTAATTTCAGTGATATCTGTCAGGTCATAATGACACTTTGCGTCTGGCATTACTCAAAAGTAAAATAAACAGCACCTTAAACCTATAGACAACCACAAGATTGTAGGTTAGAACCCTGCAAAAGCTGCTCCATGAACTATAACAATTGTGCCTTAAATAAGACTTTCTTGAAGAACTGTTCCTGTCAGCTAAATGACTAATTAATAAAACTAGATAGTGAAACCTCCTGATCATACCCAAATAACATAGTCCTGCCCTCTAGTGTTACTAGGAAGAACTGTGAGAATCCTACTTTATTTATTTATTTTTAAATCAACACTGTTTTAAATTTTGGTTTGCTATTAATTGGTTGTTACAGCATTTGGAAGAGAAAAGCACTACTTTCTGCAGATCAAGTGTGTGTTTGAGTGTGTTACCTCAGTAATGCAGACCCCTTTACCACCAGCAGCAGAGAGGCACAGCTTCTGAAGTTTCTGTTGATCCACACTCTTAGGCAGGTTATGAACACACAGCCGTGTTTTAGACACATAAATACTAATGTCCTTTAACTTTGCCCTTTTCAGCTCCTCAAACTGACAACAAAAACAAACAAAAATAACATGTTAATCTTTGGCACCCTTTACACCTGGCATGATTATAAAGCACTTAGAGCAATATAGAGTGATAGAGGAGATAGATACCTTATTTTTTATCTGCCAAAGTGACAGAAAGCATCTTGAAGAAATGTTTTTATTATCTTTATTTTTAATTGACATAATTGTATGTATTAATTGTATTCGGTGAAAAACTTG